TCATGTACCATAAAGCAATCAGTAATCATCACAACAACAATCATTCTCCCGCCTCATAAAGAACAATAAAGAAGATGACGAGATATCGCCAATCCGAGGGCGGCGGAACGCATCATCGTGGTGGGCTCTCCTTCCACGTTGAGATCGTTCATGATGTTGCATACTCGTAATAGAGTACGGATTTGACTGAGTTCAGCAATTTAAGCTGGCATTTGGTTAAAGTGCTCGTCACTCCGTTTAGTGATGGACTTGAGCTGTGCAGGAATTCCTGTGGAAGCAAGTCTGCACCGAGAGATGGAGTTTGTTGGGAGAGTTTATCCATTCACAGCTCCAGTGGTGATACCAGTGCTGGTATTCGTAGGGTTCTCCCTGGTTCTCGCTTCAAAAGGTCAGTTGTCACCGTTGTTTATCCCGTTTTCCTCTTCAAGAGGTTGGTTATCTCCTCTGACTCCAGGACTTCCCCCGTTTCCCGTTCCACCGATTTGGTTATCGCCGTTTGGAGTATCGATGAGGTTAGGCAAACTTGCCATTTCTGATCTGAAGTATCTTGTGTTAGGATTTAAAAAACTGTTTTTGTTTTTAAATTTCCCACAAACAGCACAATAAAAAAACTGGTTTTGTTTCTAATGGGTAAAATAGAACTTGTTCTTAAAAAACTGTTTTTGTTTCTAAACCGGAGATGCGGTTTTCACCTTCGAGAAAATACCTCATTGCCATTTTTTTGTTTCTAAAAAACTGTTTTTGTTTTTAAAAGTCTCCACAAATGATTTATTGAAGCCAATCCGATCAAATCCTTTCTTTTTTCTTCCTTTCGTTTCCATAACCTATTTAGGGAGTTCGCATCTTTGCCTATAGTGGGGAATGGCACTGGCAGAGAAATTGATCCTACTTTAAATGTTTTGATTTAAAGTTGTACGTAGGGGACAAAATTGTTTTTTTTTCTTAAACATAATAGAAGATAGATAATTTTTCAAATACATTGTGTTAGTTTCACTGTTCTACCAAAACGATAGTACCGTTTTTAGCTAATATATCAATGTATAATTTTAACTCATGTTAAAAGTTTTGAAGAAAAAGAAAAGCAAATCTATATTTATATACATACTTATTTATTGGGATATATATATTTATTGGGATAAATAATTTTTCCACGAAATCGGTAAATCAGAGAGTGACACATTATATTAGACTAGATGTTCACTTAATCTAAAAGCATATCAGTACAGAAAAGTGCAGTTATGATTAGTGGCGGACCTAGAATTTTTTTTAAGGATAGGGATGTCAGTTTATCAACTAAAAAACTAAAAAAATATCAAAAAAGTATATACTAGGGTTTGAACCTGAATTTAGAGAGTTCACTAGACAATATTTACGAAATATGCTATCAACTTTTCTCACTTTTAAGGGGTGTCAGAGGACACACTATTTTTCGTAGTGGGTCCGCCTCTGGTTATGAGGCTAAGTGATCGAACTTTAGGATATGTTAGGAGTATGATGTGTGACGACCACTTGACCGAAAAGCATGCCATTTAGAGGGAATGTGGTTATGAGACTAGATGGTCAAACCATATGACAGGGTAAGACAAGTTGCAGGTTAGATGGCCAATTGACCTAAAAACGTGCCACTTAAAAAGGGTGTGGTTATAAGTTAGGTGGTAAAATCTTAAGACATGGTATGACAGAGGTTAATCACCATATTTATTCAAAACTGTTCTTGAGTAGCTGAAATGAGAAGTAAGGGAATAAATGATCCTGAAATGATAAGGAGTCACATTTTTCTGAACCGCCAACTCATGCCATATTACCTAGAGACTGCAGTGATGAACAAGAGATGAGTGATTTGGGCAGGTACATGCCGTTTTCCCGTCTGCAATATCATAAACCGGACAGTCATGCCCTGGAAGTTAAGACTCTCAGATAACTGGATAGCAGAATTTAGAAAGGTAAGAGAAATTTGATACCCCTTACCAGATTATCAGGAAGGTAAAATGACTTAGTCTACACGAGTTTCTCTTATTTCCTCTCCATAGATATTACCCTGAAATTTGAAATACTTCCGCAAAAAACTTGGCAAAAGATTCATGCTATGTGGTTTCAGGATCAGAGACAGACAAAACCAACGTGACAGCGTCAAAAGACATGTCGTATGAGACGAATAAACCACACGGCGCCAAACCCATGAGGCACATAAAAAGTAAGAGTCACTAGCACAGAGGTGTAGATGCAGGAAAAGTACTTTAGTATAGATAAGGACCCAGCTGAGATGATCCATCCATTCGACCGAACTATCGAAATACAATCTGGTATATGATTCTGGGCAGGGACCTGAGTTACATATACACACATAATTTTTGATCTAATTCCTCTCACTTCAGATATACAAATCTTTTATTTCTAAACATAGGGCCCTTTTGATACTCTGGCACCAATCCAACACTTGTCTTCCAATCGTTCTTTGGCTGGAATTATCTTAATTCTCTCACTTTTTTTTCATCTTTTTCACTTCAAATTGCCTCACAAACTCCAAAAACTTAGGGGTTGATTGGTTCACCCGCTATCACCCGTAAATGCTGCGTTTGCGGTTGGTAGTGGTTAGTGGCATTTTATAACAATTATACAAATCGTTGCAAACCGCTCCATATCGTTTTATACCGCTGAAATCCAAAAGCTGCTTCCCGCCAGCGTTTGCGATTGCGGGCGGTAGCGGTTGGATAAAAAAATAATAAATAAATAAAATTAAAATCATGCCAGAAAAAAAATGGAAGGTCACGTTAAAAACAATTATAAAATCCTAACCCTGTTAATCTTTACATTACTAGACATAATTTTGGGTAATGTTCCCAACAATTAAAATAAAATATGTTATTCTAAAATTTATTAGTTCTTAAAATAATTATATAGTATTTAGTTAGATTTTTTATTAATTATTTTGAACTAGTGATTTTGATATTAAACATAACAATATAGTTTTATATTTTTTTATAACTGTTTTTGATATTTATTTTGGTAATTTTATGTTTAACCGCTAAAACATCTGTTGGTTTGCCAGTCAAAAATGTCCCGCAAACGGATCCGCCTTAAAAAGTTTAACCAGTCATGCAAACCGCTTAATAACGCTCAAAACCACAATCACCCGCTTCCACAAACTCCCGTACTCGCAACCGCAACCGCTTCGTTTAAACCAGTCAGGCCCTAGTGGATCCACCCCTTTTTCTATTTCCTAGGTCTCTTAGCCTTTCGGACCCAAAGCCCAAAATAGTAGTTAACAGCCTCATATTTTCTTTTTTTTTTCGAATTGAATGTTAAATTTATTCCAACCAGAAAAAAAGCGTTTTCTACATATGAAATGCGAGCTTTAAAGTAGAAACAAAGTTAAGGACATAAAAATTATCTTCCTCCTCAATAGAAACCGGCCCTTGGTCTCGAAGAGAACCAGAGCTGCATTCCCCCGTCGTATTTTGTATCACCAAGCAGCCTTATCGAGCTGAACCTGTTACGTACATCCTTGTCTATAAGCTTGATAAGTTTGGGTATCGATAAAGCTGTGCCGCCATATCTTCTGTTATTACGTTCCCTCCAAATCATGTAGATTGTGTTTTGGAAAAGATAACAGACAAGAAAACCAGATAAATCACTTCTCCGCTGTTGAACAAGGAAAGTAACCACGTCATTCCAAACACAAGTGAAACGTTGCCAATAAACTCCTTTTGCAATGTTTGTCCAAATTCTTGTTGAGAATGGACACGAAAAGAAGATGTGGTCTCGAGACTCTATCGGATAATTGCAGAAAATGCAGGAGGTTTGCACACCTGGAAACCATGCCTGCATTCGATCTCCTGTGGCTAACCTGTTGAGCATAGCTAGCCAAGTTATGAAACCATATTTCGGGCAATGATGGGAAAACCATACACTATTAGCCCATGGAACCTTTGGCGATGAAACTCTGATCAGATCTCTGGTAGTTCTTGTGTTAAAACCCTGTTTAATCACCTGCGCTTTTGTTCTCCAGAAAAACACATCCTCCCCTGCATTACTGTACCGCATTCTCGCCTTGTCAATCTCCTCCTCTACTTCATTTAAAACCTGATTGCGATGTCTTCTTCTTCTATGACAAAGAATAGCATCATCCACCATGGCTCCCTTGCTGATACCCATATCAAGATATCCTCTTTCTCCAAGTCGATTCAAAAGATTCCCCATAGAAGACCAATTATCCCGCCAAAACAGAGCACTGCGTCCATTCCCTGTTTCAACCTTAAGAAAAGAAGCCACTAGATGCAGGGCTTTTAAGATTTGTTGCCAAGTCCACGAACCAGGTATATATCGTGGCGGCTCTGGGCACAACCAGATTGACGAACCTCTAATGAGGTTTTGCCTCACCCAGCTGACCCAAAGTGAAATCTTCTCCGTAACAATCCTCCAAAAGAGCTTAAGAATGCATACGTCGTTCACTTCCCGGAGATTCTTTAAACCAAGCCCACCCTCATTCTTTGGCTTACACACATCTTTCCATGCGATCTTAGCCTTTTTCCTATTTAAATCTGGCCCCGACCAAAGAAAAGCTGAACAAATACTTTCAATTTCATCAATACAGCCATTTGGAAGTCTAAAAGCCGCCATCCAAAAATTCGTCAAACTAGCAATCACCAAAGAAAGCAGCTGTAGTCTCCCTGCAAAAGTAAGAGATCGAGCTGTCCAAGTGTTATATTTCCCTTTGATGCGATCAATCAATGGGGCGTAGTCAAGCGTCCTCATCTTCTTGGTCAACAGGGGTAAACCCAGATATCAAACTGGGAGTGAATCGAAATTGAAAGCGAACTGCTGAACAATGTGTGCTCTTTCTGCATCTGAGACACCTGCCAGATACACTGTGGACTTCTCCTGACTTACTTTTAATCCGGACATCTTGAAAAACTCTTCAAAAACACTGAGAATTCCCTCCAAGGAACTTAATTTCCCATCAGTAACGATCATTAAATCATCAGCGAAGCATAGATGGGTTAGCTGTAATCGAGAACACTTGGGATGAAATCAAAATCTCCTTTGATTCGCAGCTTTATCTAGCATTTTTGAGAGAACATTCATGCATATGACGAACAAATAAGGGGAGAGAGAGCATCCTTGATGCAGTCCTCGGGAACTCCTAAAATACCCTGCAAACTCACCATTAACTTGGACTGAAACGATGCTGTGGTGATACATAAATGAACCCAATGAACAAACTCCATGGGGAAATTTAACGCCTCCAAAATTGTCAACAAGAACTTCCAGTGAACTGAATCGAAAGCTTTGGACACATCTATCTTAAGTGCACACCTCGAGGAGATTGAATCCAAATGATACCCAGAAACAAGCTCTGATGCAAGCAGTATATTCTATAACAAAAGCCTGTTCTCGACAAACGCCGATTGATTGGGAACAATAAACTTTGGCAAAATACCAATCTATTCGCGAGAATCTTGGAAATAAGTTTATAAACCACATTACAGCACGCAATCGGTCGATAATCTTTCATCATCTTTGCTCCATCTTTTTTCGGAATCAGTGCAAGAATCGTCGAGTTAATACCTTTCGGTAAGAAGCCCTTAGTAAAAAACGACTGTATTCTCACCACAAGGTCCTTTCTGATGACCGACCAAGCATCTTTAAAGAATTCTACAGTAAATCCATCTGGCCCAGGCGATTTATTCGTTGCCATTGCAAATAAAACCCCTTTGATCTCTGCTTCTGTAACTTCATGTGTGAGACTGCGTTGATCCTCTAAAGTGCATCGAAACTCCATCAAATCACAAATCTCCGACAAGTGAATTTCTCTGATTTCCTCAAGAACATGATTGAGAAACTGGTTAAAGTGATTGACCGCTAAATCCTTGATAGTCTGACTCCCCGTTGATATCGTACCATCCTCAGCTTGAAGCTCCCTTATCCCATTCTTCGCAGCTCTGACCTGAACCGCCCGATGATATATCTTCGTGTTTTTATCCCCTACATTCATCCAGGTCAACTTCGATTTCTGGTACAGGTACCTCTCTTCAATATTTGCCGAGGCTTCCCATCTATGGAAAGCATCATTCTCCTCCTTCTGAGCATTCTCCGATGGGTTACTAAGATTCAAATCCTGTTTCGCACAAGCTCCTCATAATTCAGCTGAACCCGCCGCGATATATCACTCAGTGCATCGCGAGAGATCTGTCTCACCAACGGCTTGAGAAACTTGAGTTTTTTTGCTAAACGATACAAAGCTGAGGTAGAGTTGAACAGGGGATCGGTGGCCTCCCAATAGTTTCTCAGCCTTTCTTGATATCGAGGCAGCGAGGTTACCACATTTGCAAATTTAAAAGGACGCTTTGGCTTTTCCTGCCTCTAAGTAATATAAAACCTACATCTCAGATGATCTGAACATCCACCCGCTTCAAACACACAATACGATGAAGGAAGACTCGACAACAAGTGATCGTTCACCAGCAAACGATCCAACTTTTTGCAAACTAAACCATCAGTCCTCTTGTTGCACCAAGTATAGAGAGGCCCATGATACCCCAAATCGCATAACACCCCATCTCGTACAAGATTCTGAAAATCCATCATTCCACTTGAATTGATCGAGTTAGTTGTCGAATGCCCATGTTCTTCCCTTGACAGTATTTCATTATAATCGCCCAGGATCATCCACCTCAATCTTCTATATATTGGCGAATCAAAATGAGAACAAAGATCCTCCCACAGCATCTTACGTTCTTCCAACAAATTCGAGCCATACACAAAGGAGCAAAGAAACTCCTCATCCATACCTTGCAACTTCACCAAGACAGTAATAAGCTGACTGCTTTTAAAAACCGGAGTAACTCTAACTGAATCATGCCAAACAATCCATATTCTTCCCAGACGATGGTGTTCAAAGTTAGACATATATGACCAGCTTGGAAACACCCTCGAAATTATTTCCGCAGCTTTATTCTCTTTTACCCGAGTTTCAATTAACCCACCAAACAGAAAATCCTTTTCGCGACACCAACTCTTCACAATTTTTTGTTTTCTTTTCTTGTTAAAACCTCTGATATTCCAGCAAAATCCTGTCATTAATTTTGAGATTTTTTGGAATTCTTCCTTCTCTTCTTACCCGAACTGTTCCCTGGAGAAGTCTGAGTGCTCGGTTTTACTGCCTGCTGTACAAACTTGTGTGACGATTTGGATTCTCGTGAGAGTGAGATCCGAACTACACCTTTTTCCCCAGCTTTTCGTGATTTTTCCTTGCTCGACAGAAGCAAGTTCTGCACTGAAACCTCTTCTTTTTCAACCTCCTTCTCCAACACTTCTTCCCCTTCTCTCGATTCTGCAACCTCCTCTCCCCCATCTTGATCCTCATTCTCTAACAGAGAATCAAATCTCGAAAATAAAACCACCTCCTCCACCTCCTTTGTTTGCTTCCCCTTACTCCGATTTGAGGAAATGGGTTTAACGGTTTCCCATTCTGCCTCATCATCTTGAGCACCAATCCCTAAAGCTTTCTCTCCAAGCTCTGAGTTTCCACCAACTCCCACCAAACCATTTTGCAAATCCTCACCCCTCTCCATTACCCTCTGAGATCTCACCGGAGTAGTCAAAAGTGGTGCTTCATTCGGTCCGACTTCAACGACCTTTGCATGAGCCCCTTCCGTAGTTTCACTAACAGAAGTCTCCTTACGCAATGTCCGAATATCTCATGGGCTTGCCTTGCACTTTGCAATCACATGACCCCATTTAGAGCAAGAAATACATCGTGGAGGTAGCCATGGAAACTCATACTCCACTTTGGTATCAAGCCCTTTGCTCGACTTGAAACTAAATGCCTCTGGTATCTTTCTGTCCAAGTTCACTTCAACAAAGACCCTTGCTTCCTCAAAACTCTTTGCCCACAAGGTGTCAGGGTGCAACCTTTTTTGGCTCGCCTAATGGACTTGTTAGGAAACTCAATCCTTTCCATGTAAACATTGATCGAGGTACATTTCGAACAATAACCCACATAGGAATAGATTTCACTTCTGGCTGCGCTTCTTCAACAACCGGGCTCCATTTTGAAACGATCATGGGGATATTTTTAATACTCCACATGCCTCTTCTCAACACTCTAGATCGCGCCACAGCATCAGGGATCTTAAACTTAATCGCCGTTTCATTCACGACAAAAACTTCGACCTTAAAAGCTTTGTTACCCAAAGTTCAGATCTTATTGACTGTCATATGGATGAAACCAACATGGGGAGCTTTAGTAGCGAATTTCCCCACAATACAATCCTCCCATAAGGGAGGAGCATCCTTGAATACACTGTCAGGGACTTGAATCGTGCCAACACCATTCACATCCTCGACAACCGCATCATACTTCTGCTATCTGTCCTTTGCCGCTGCCACAGACGACCATGACTTCTCCAGAACAACCGCTTTCACCAAATCTCCCTCCAAAACACGAGTAGTCTCTTCCGCACCTGATAACACTTCCATAGACTCGGGGACCTGTGATTGGCACGAGGAACCCAAAACCCTAGCTTCCTCTCCTTCCAACTGACTTACTCCCAACTCCTGATGCGCAACCTCCACCTCCTTTCCACTCACCATGACCTTCGATACCTCCTCTGACGGAGGGACCCCTAGATCCGGCTCCGTCATAGCCGCCGGTGCCCTTGCGTGGGCTCGAAGCTCCTGAAAACCCTAGCACACGAATCGCTCTCCTAGTCGCCTCCTCTACTGACGTGGTCTTGATCTGATCTGATCGATATACAGTGTACAACAGCCTCATATTTTCAAAATTAAAGTAAACAAAAATATATTAAAAAATAAGATATATTCTCATAATACTAATTTCCTATCACTTTTGTTTTTTGTCAAAAGATCAATAATATAATATAGATTAGAATTTGTTTTGAGTAATTTAATAAGAGTGAGACTATATTTACAATAAAAAAGATTTGTTTTTGTTTCTTTGATGTAACCCTCCCTATCTCAAATTTGCATAAAAGTTAAAGCAGCACAGGTGAGATATTCTAGGATATTTTACTATTTATTCATCAGATTTTTCCCAGACAAAAGAGTTAAGGAAAGTTTTGACCAAAAAATCTAAATTGATAAGTATTAGGTGGTTGTTATACGCAGTTATTAACTTGATAGTAAAGGTGTATCCATCTCACTAAAATCAAGATGTCGTTCAGTATATGTTATTACACCTGTTTCATAAAAAATGTTTTGTTATTAGTTTTCATATATATTAATAAAAATATGTAAATTTCTAATATAATAAATAAGTTATTTCTCTAATCGATAAGCTCAAACAGTATGGAGGCACTTTAGAACTAGTTTAAAAAAGTCTTCGTAAAAAATAAAATGATGTTGTGAAAACTTAGAAACTTTATTAATCACTGGAATGTATATATAGAGTACATAGGGAATCTAGGTTAAGTACAATGCCCTGATGGGCCTAATGGGCCGGTATAAGAGTCCATATATGATATGTGTTATAACACTCCCCCTTGGACGAGTGAACCGGGCCAGCTACTCAATCGGGATCTCGATAATGCGCTGGGGAATGTTGCCTCATTAAAACCTTACCAGGAAAAACCCAGTGGGACAAAACCATGGTGAAGGAAAAAGAGTACAACACGCATTACTCCCCCTGATTGTAGCATCACTGCAGATCTCTAAGTCTATACATTCCTATCTGTTTGACGAGCTTCCGGTGTGTTGAAGTAGGCAATGATTTGGTGAAGAGGTCAGCTGAATTCTCACTGGATCGGACCTGCTGAACGCTGAGAGTGCCGTCCTTCTGCCAGTCTGAGGTTGAGAAGAACTTCGGTAGAATGTGCTTCGTCCGATCTCCTTTGATATATCCTTCCTTGAGCTGAGCTATGCATGCCGCGTTGTCTTCATACATCACCGTGGGCTGTGTGTCTTCGTCCATACCACAATCTCTGCGGATGTGCTGAGTCATGGAGCGCAGCCAGACGCATTCCCTACTAGCCTCATGAATGGCTAGGATTTCAGCATGGTTTGATGAAGTGGCAGTGAGTGTCTGCTTCATTGATCTCCAAGAGATGGCTGTTCCTCCATGCGTAAAAACGTAGCCAGTTTGAGACTTGGCAGTGTGCGGATCTGATAGATATCCTGCATCGGCGAAGCCGACTAACCCATCTTTATTTTGGTTAGTATAGAAGAGTCCTAAGTCTTGAGTGCCTCGAAGGTATCTTAGGAGATGTTTTATACCGTTCCAGTGCCTCTGAGTTGGGGATGAACTATATCGAGCGAGGAGGTTCACGGCGAAACATATGTCTGGTCTAGTGTGACTAGCCAGGTACATTAACGCTCCTACAGCACTGAGGTATGGCTTTTCAGGACCAAGGATTTCTTCATCATCCTTTTTGGGACCAAGAGGGTCATCACTTAAGCTTCTAACTACCATTGGGCTGGTCAATGGGTGAGCTTGGTCCATATTAAATCGCTTGAGTACCTTTTTGATATAAGCCGATTGATGCACAAGGATTCCTCCTTTGATGTACTCAAGTTGTAATCCCAAACAGTACTTTGTTTTGCCTAGGTCTTTCATTTCGAATTCTGCTTTTAAGCAGTCGACTGTTTGGGAGATCTCACCAGATGTTCCGAGGATGTTTAGATCATCCACGTATACTGCTATGATTACAAATCCTTTGTTTGAGTACTTCTTGATGAAGATGCATGGACTGATGGGGTCATTTTTGTAGCCTTCTTTGATGAGGTAATCGCTGAGGCGGTTGTACCACATACGCCCACTTTGTTTCAGTCCATACAAGGATTTGTTCAGCCTGATGCAGTATTGATCTCGAGATGCATTTTTGTCTTTTAGTTCAATGCCATCTGGGAGTCTCATATATATTTCGTTGTCCAGGGGCCCATAGAGATATGCGGTTACAACATCCATTAACCGCAGATCAAGATTTTCTCTTATGGCCAGACTTATGAGGAATCGGAATGTTGTTGCATCCACCACTGGAGAATAAGTCTCCTCATAATCGATTCCGGGTCTCTGTGAGAATCCTTGTGCTACAAGCCGTGCTTTGTATCGAACGACTTCACCGAGTTCGTTCCTTTTACGCACAAAGACCCATTTGTGGCCCACTGGCTTGATGTGTGATGGGGTCCGGATGATCGGACCGAACACGTTTCTGAGTTTGAGACTCTTTAACTCCACGTTTATGGCTTCTTTCCATTTTAGCCAATCTGTTCGATGTGTACACTGTGTTATTGCCGTGGGTTCTAGATCCTCTTGCGTGAGCGCAACATCAAGTGCTACTTTGTATGCAAAGAGTGCATTTAAGTCGACTTCTTTTCGATTCCATTGTATTCCGGACATATTGTAATTGATGGAGATCTCATTGTTATCTTCTGAACCTGGAGATTCGGCATCCCGAACTTCCATTGAGGGTTCATTAGATTGAGTCTCAGCCGCGGCTATGTCTGATATTGCAGGAATCCCGGTTTCGGTTATTGCACCTTTCTTTGATTTCCGGGGATTCTTATCTTTGGAACCGAGAGGTCTGCCCCGTTTGAGACGTGGTGCAGACTCTGTAGCAACTTGGGTCTGTCCCGTTGGGACAGCTATTCGTACTGGTGCATTACAAGCTGGGATGTACGATTTGGTTACTTTGGTCGGGTCAGCAAAGGAATCTGGCAATTGATTAGCTAGCTTTTGATAATGAATAATCTTTTGGATCTCTGAATCACATTCTAGAGTCCGAGGATCTTGCCAATTTACTGATGTTTGATTCCATGAAAGATCTTTGACCAGCTTGTTTGTCTCACCACCTAAAGAGGGATATACCGATTCATCGAATTGGCAATCCGCATATCTGGCCTTGAAGAGATCTCCAGTGGTTGGCTCGAGATATCTTATGATGGTGGGAGAGTCAAAACCAACATATATTCCCATCCTTCTTTGAGGTCCCATTTTGGTTCGATGTGGTGGAGCAATGGGTACATATACTGAACACCCAAATGTTTTGAGATGGGAGATGTCTGGCTCATGACCCGAGAGTAGTTGGGATGGGGAATATTTGTGTTCACTAGATGGCCGGATGCGTATGAGTTCAGCAGCATGTAATACTGCATGTCCCCATGCTGAGGCCGGGAGCTTTGATCTCATGAGTAATGGTCGGGCTATCCATTGAATGCGTTTAATGAATGATTCAGCCAATCCATTTTGAGTATGGACATGTGCTACAGGATGTTCCACGGTTACCCCCATGGCCATACAGTAGTCATTAAACGCTTGTGAGGTAAATTCACCAGCATTGTCAAGGCGGATAGTCTTTAGTGGGAAGTCAGGGAAATGGGCCCGCAATTTGATGATTTGGGCCAAGAACCTAGCGAAGGCTTGGTTCCGAGAGGACAAGAGACAAACATATGACCAACGGGTCGATGCGTCTATAAGGACCATGAAGTACCGGAATGGTCCGGAAGATGGATGTATAGGTCCACAGATATCGCCCTGGATTCTTTCTAGGAAATGAAGTGTTTATTTAGAGATTTTAACTGGTGAAGGCCGAGTGATCAATTTGCCTTGAGAACAAGC